GGGGGGGGGGAGGGAGGTCGGACTAGATGATCTATCTAGGTCCCTTCTAACTCATTGATTCTATGAGTTTCTATTGTGAATATTCGACCCTTATATGTAGGTCATACATAGCTCATCAATAAACTCTCAAATGTTACACAAGCGCACAAACAAAAAAACCCAGCTTTGTTAAAATTATTAAGCTACAAGGCCACTGGCAGCTTTAAATAAATTCAAGCCTCTAATTCTTTTGTGTATTCATGAGCTAAACAATTACACAGAAGAGTAGGCAATTGCTGCAGTGAAAAGTGTTCAGTCACAGATGCTTCTGATCTATGTAGACGCTTATGTGAAAAGTTCCGTCACCTTCCTCGCACTAGCCAAGAGCCAGCTACAATGTCTGCATTTAGCCTTTTAAAAGTCTATAGTCAATGTTCCAAAAATCCAAACAGAAAGGGAAGATGGGAAAAAAAAAACATACCAAAATTCAGAAAAGAGGTGGAGTGGTTTGGCTGGGTAGGCTCCCGTGGCTTTGCCAGTGCAGATGGGCTGCAGATACCTAGAAACAAACAGAAGGGCTTTCTTTAGCAGGCAGTGACCATTTGAATGACCTAAAGATGCAAGTTGAATGCCAGCACAGTGACAGGAGTAAACATGCCATGTTCTTTAGAGGGAGGCTTTGTGCAGAGGTAGGGCAGGTTAATTCAGAGACATACTCTTCATAGCATCTAAGCCAACGGTTCCCAACTGGGGTGATGCTTTCATTAAAATATATCAAATGGAGAAGTGACAAAGACAAGGCTAATTCTATTCTGTAAATTTTCCTCCATGGAAACACTTGGCTGACTTCATTAAATCAACTCATTTGTTTCAGAGCATGTTTTTGCTGTGACTTCCAAAGAAGATGGATGAGAAGTTAGGATGCCTACAGTGTTAAACAATATCATCTGGGAATGGATAGGGTAGGCTGGGGAAAACAAGCCAAAACATTGATTCATTTTTGTGTACAGAAGCTGAGATGGGAGGTCGATATACGTTTCACATATACACTCAGAGTCCTGTTAGCAATGACAGCTTTTCAGAGAAATACAGATCTTGAATTCATGTGTGCTAAGTGCTTGGAGAGGTCCTAACAGAGGAGGCCAACAGATCATTATCCATCTAGCGAGGTGCTGAGTCCCTCAGCTCCCTGGGTCAGAGAGGTATACAGGATGCTCAGCATGTTGCAGGTCTGGGCCCCCAAATAAGTACAGCTCTGTAGGCTTCACACATTCACATGGCCAACGGGGTAACTAGCTGACACTCAAGATACTTACTCTTTTTCACGTTGCGTAAAATTTTCAAGCTCTGTAAAGACAAAAAATGAGAATGATGATGAAAGCAGCAATACAGTAAGCAGAATATCCCCAACTGATGAAGAGACTGCTGTGCTCAACAGCCATGATAAACAGCGTGCAAACATCATGCCCACAAGATATGCAATGCCTACTCTCAAAAACCACATTATATTTGGGGCAGGGGCGCAAAAGCCTGTCATTTCTTCATCTTTTCCTCCTTTCCCAGCCAAAGCAAAATCAACTCAGTGGTTATCAGTAATGCTGTTAAAGCTACTCTCAATAGAATTTCTGTGCAAGAGTGACATTCAAAGGCTAGGACAGACGTAGCTGTGTTAGTCTGACATCAGGCAAAGGAGCCGGGAGCACAACTTCCTCAGGCAGCAGCTGAAATCAGGATCGTTTAGGAGGGGAATCTGTCCTATTCGGGAGTTGGAAAATTGGTCGTCATTCCTGAGAGGTGTTGGCCCAGTAAATGGAGAGGAGATCACAGGTATACAGAGGTACGTAAGCCAGTCCCAGAGATAGGCAGAGGTAACTCTTGTCTCTGCTGCAGGGCTCTGGTCCTTTTCTTCTTTCCACCAGTTCTGCTTGCAGTGTCACTACCAGCACACAATATTGTGCTTGAGCTTTTCTCGCCTTAAGTATGAGAGCTCTCAAACCAGACTTCTGTTCTCCTACTGTCTTTGTAGGATTATGACAAGACGACAACAGCCACAGCTACAGCTGGATAGATGACCCTTCTCTCAGATTTCCTTACTTTGCTCCTCCTGAAGCATTTTGCAGGCTCCTGTGGTAGCTCCTCAGAAGCTTTATTCCCTGAGTCCCCAAGGCTGCTAGTAGAATTCCTCACAGGAGGCTGAAGACCTGGGAACACACACCACAACATTTCAAAAGGTCAAGTGCACATCCTCCTACTTCTTTTCTGAATATTTGCAGAATTAAGTGGAAGACTCTCTTATGTTTACCTTTTATGTAGCAGTTTGGGGAGGGGGAGGCAGTATTTTGCCTGTCACCCTTGCAGCCACTCTCTGGCTGCGTTCATCGTTTTACATCCATGGTGTTCTCCCACAGAAAGCAGGGACTTATTTGGAAGGTTTACAGCCAGCCTGGGCTGAGTGCAAGATGGAGTATGGGGCCCGATCACCAGGAAATCCAACTCTGTCTCAGCTCTGGGATCCTCTTTACTCAGACTGCCACCAGTTGGGGTAAATGGGGAGGGGAGCTTGGACACAGTTTTGCTTGCTTGGACACATGAGCTTTGTGTTGGCTTCAGTTAAGCCCGCAACTAATGGAGATGCTGTACCTCTCTCACAGAAGATTACAGGTGGAAAAAAAACCAAAACACTGCCACTTACTGTCCTCACTGGCAAGAACAAACGATTCGGGAGTTCTTTCAGGGAGTGGAGGAGGAGAAGAGGAGTGGTCCCGATGTGTCTCTACAGCGATAAAGGAAAAAGACATAAAACCCTTCAGCTTTTAAAAAGCTAGTATCCCCAGATCAGTGTCTGACATCCTTTGTGATGACCAAAGCAACGCAACGCAGCAAGTATTCATCTCCATCCTTCCGAAAACAGCATGCAAGTGCTGTACTATGTAATAATTATTATTATTGATGATGACAACGACGATGATATTGTAGTGTGATGCTTGTCATTAGAGAACACCACAAAGGAGTCAGTCAGTCATCCCTATTTTAGGGATGGGGAAACAGAAGCACAAGGTGATGCATAGCCTTAGCCAAGGTCAAGCAGGAGGCTAGGGCAGAGCCAGAAACAGAGCCTAGGTTCCAAGCCCTGGTCTACCTTTCAGACTGCCCAGCTGTGCTACCTCTCCACAAGAGAAAGGTAAAGAATCCCCAGGGCCACACAGTCTGAGAAGGGTACTTCCTTGGCCCAGTGAGACTGGAAGGAACAGCAGCACAAAGTGATACCAGCTGCTTCAGGGGCTGGTTAGGAGACATAAGCCTGCTGCTTTGCTTGGTTAGCGAACTGGCTAGTTACCAGCACAACAAAGCTGTTGCACAGCATATAAAGCCCAGAGATGCTTACAAAGGAGTTCCAGTAAGCTGCTGGGTTCAGCACAAAATAGGTAGTTGGACAGACCAGTTGCCTATGACATCAAAAAAAGCCTGTACCTGATCTGGGACTCCGGAGCTTCACACTCTGGAAACAAACAACAGGAAAATATTTGAAATTCCCACAGTCAAATGCAACTCTCTCGCATTGCAAGCAAGCTAGTGAAACACAGGAAATGATGCCACAGGCACTCAGCCCCCTCCCACACACACCTCCCTGCAAGTGTAATGGAAGATTGGTTCTGCCCTCCACCCAGCCAATTCATCCAGTGGATCTTTTCAAGGCTGGCACTCTGGTGGGCTGGAGTGGGCCTGGGAGTTCGGTTCTTGGCTCTTCTGCAAACTCCCTGGGTGATCCTGGGCAAATCTGACTCTATCTCAGGTCCCTAGCCCTAAAATACAGACAATATCTAATAGCTTTTTCCTATCTGACATGGGAGTTGCAATGACAAATTCATTCATGTTTGGAAGGAACTATTATGCAGCAGTGAATAGGGAATCACGTAAATGCAGAGACAAGTGTCAGATCAAGGCTCTGTTCACTTGTGGCAAATGAAGAGTCCCCAGCACCCTCTCCTAGGGCATTAATTGCAGAAGCCCAGTGAGACTTCAACTCTCAATTTCATTCCACTTCCCCAAATTTCTCTTCCAGTTTCAGGTGAAAAAATTCCTCTTTATTTGTCCCTCTGTAATGTTTGTGGAGAATGACTATCCCATTCCACACCAGAACAAGCTGCATTTCAGTGGTGGGTTAGCAGTATTCATCTAGTGCAGGTCAATTCCAAGATGAACATGGGCCGACAATGCGAGGTCATGGTTGGCAGGGCTAACCGGACCTTGTCGTGCATCCACAGGTGCATCTCGAGTAGAGCCAAGGAGGTGATCCTCCCCCTCTACACGACGCTGGTCAGGCCACAGCTGGAGTATTGTGTCCAGTTCTGTGCGCCCCATTTCAAGAGGGATGTGGACAATATGGAGAGGGTCCAGAGGAGGGCCACCCGCATGATCCGGGGACAACAGGGCAGACCCTACAGTGAGAGACTGCGGGACCTGAACCTATTCAGCCTCCACAAGAGAAGGCTGAGGGGGGACCTGGTGACCGTCTATAGACTCACTAGGGGGGACCAGAAGGGTTTGGGGGAGACGCTGTTTCCCCTAGCGCCCGCTGGCATAACAAGGAGTAATGGGCACAAGCTGATGGAGAGGAGGTATAGATTGGACATCCGCAAAAACTACTTCACAGTTAGGGCGGCTAGGAGCTGGAACCAACTTCCAAGGGAAGTGGTGCTGGCCCCTACCCTGGGGGTCTTTAAGAAGAGGCTGGATGCCTACCTGGCTGGACTCGTTTGAGTCCCGTTTCTCTTTTTGGGGTTTTTTGTTGTTCTCCCGCCCTGGCGGGGGGTCGGGCTAGAAGATCTACTAGGTCCCTTCCGACCCTTAATCTATGAATCTATGAACTTGAATTACCTAACCCAAATCAACTATCACAAGCTAAAATCCTACAAGGCAGAGTGTAGCCCTCTCACAAGTCAGGGAAGGTCCAGGCAAAGGCTGCTGGAGTCCAGGGTTTATCTTGACCTTCTAATTCATGTGAAAACAATGTGTGCCTTCTCTTCACAGAGTCCCACCTGGCTTGAGATCAAGTTAGGAGCTTGCTGCTTCCTAGTGAAGACTCACCCTTGCAGACAACCTTGGGAAAAATGGTGCTGCAGGAATAGGCACATTTTAAAGAGCACAGGCAAGTACATTTGTGCTTGCAGTACAAAAACCCAGTCCCCCAATACCTGGTCCTCATTTCCCGAAGTTCCTTTCTTGCCACTTCCCCAGCAATTCGTGACCAGTTTTGCGCTTAGCATCTTTCTCTCAGATACATCTGTCCAGCACTCCAGTTCAGTGCTTTCACACCCATAGGATGGACCAGAAAGCACTGAGCACACTCACTCTCCTATTGCTGCACTCTATCATATCCCCATTGCTACTGAAACGTGAGGATGTACTTCTGCCCTTCATATTACAGGCATTAGTGTCATGACTGGTAGATTCCCATCTTCTCTTAAATGACACTGGTTGCTACTGCAATACAGCAGCTTTGACTAAGACCACTTCCTGAGCCTGGACTCTTGAAATCAGAAGTAGCTCAGGAAAAGCACACGCTACCAAACTGCTGTAGAGAAATGACACACAGTACAGAGAGCTGCATGGCCACATTACTGGAGAAGAGACACACGCCCAACTTCAGTTACCTTACTTGGTCTCAGTCTGACAGAGTCATCACATATTTCTGGCTGAGATACCCCACTCCATTCCAAAGAGGTTCCCACATGTATATTTGCAGGTGCAGGCTGGCAGCTTGAAGCAACTGGAGGAGACTCTTCTGGAAAAAATGAGATACAGGAGGGATTACTTCCCTTCCTGAGTGCCAAAGCAACCCTCTATTGGATCCTGTGACCCAAGTATCACACAACAACCAGAACCAACACATCAGTGCTTCTTAATGATCAGTGTTACTTGCACTTACCAGTTTCACCGGCCACAATAAAGGACTCTGGGGTTCGTTCAGGCAGAGGTGGGGGAATGTCATCATCTGGGTCTGGAGAAGCCACTAACCACAGACAGACAGACAGACAGTTATTGGGATGGAACTGTCCTGGTAGACCCCTATCAAGCTACACAGACAACAGCAGCTGTAAAGACCCTGAAAACTCTCTCACCCACATCAGTCATTCCACCCCTAGCAGCATGTAGGAACCGGTTGTTAACAGGCAACCTTCAAAAGCGAGAAAAGTCATCCTTCTTCATCCAAACCATAAGGGAACCAGGGAACCACCCACAGGGCTTGAGAAGTGAGCCATCCCAAGTCCTGCCTGCTGCCCCCATTGAGGCACCAGGGAGAAGGATCCAAATCTTCTAAAACTTTATTTAGAAATCCAGGAATGGACCAGGGTTATTCTTCTCTGGCCAATACAATGTCACTGAAGGGCCAGATTCCACCGGTGCCAACAGCAGCACCCCCACTGGGAGCAGGAGCCAGCCTGTGCATGTTAACCTGAACACTGACATTGCTAATTCTAGGTAGCTTTTATTGTGGTAGCTAGTGCAATCTGAACTGCTGCACAAACACTGCTGTGCTCAGAGCTGAAAGCCAGCAGAAACCCACGGCATTCAGAGAATTCCTAGCGACAGCAGGTCTTTGAGGACACTGGCCATTTGAGGCTCAGAGTCCAAGGGGGCCTGGCTTTGTCACTCTCCCCCCACTTCACCCACCCTTGCAGTTCCAAAGTGAGGGTGAAATCCTGTCCCCCTGATTGCAGCGGGAGTTCTCCCAGTGAGATAACAAGTACCAGATCCCACCCAGGACTCCTGGGAAACCCAGAGGAATCTACTGACATGGAGGGATGGCAACCTTAGCAGAGGCACTAACACCACCAGCAGCAGCTCCCTAGGGTTTTTGTCGAGTTCCCCAGCCCAAACCAACCCATTATCTGAGGAGATCTGTCAAGCTGCAGCCCAAGTAGCACACAACAGACATGCAAGGGGAATCCCAGCAAACACTGGGGATTTCTTTGGGAAAACACAGCAGAAGAAGTATTTGAAACCCAGTTCTGCCCTCAGCTCTGAGCCCAGGTTCCTGCTGAAGTTGAGAGGGGACACTCGGCCCCTTATCCTACAGGCTGGGCTTTGCAGTGCAGCAGGCTGCAAGATAGTCCTGGGGGAAGTCGAAGGCCCTGTGACCCTAGGGGCACACCCCAGAACAAACGGGCGCAGCATCCACAGCTTACTGAGTGAGGACGTCTCCGTGCCATCCTGTGGGCGAATCTGCTGGGACAGAGGCCTGCGAGCTGGAGTGCTGCCTGTGACAGGGTCCGAGGGCAGCACTGTGGGGAAGGGAGGGAAAATTGTCTCATATAGCTCTGCGGCACGGTCAGAGGATGCCGGGGATGCTGGTTCATTCGAGGACAGTGAGGAAAAATAAGGGTCTTCAGTTGAGCAGGAGCAGGGGGGCAGGCGCTGACTGCTGGTCCCCTGCTGCCAGGGGCTGGTTACTGGCTTACTCGACTGGCTCAGCATAACGGGGCAGAGCCCTACCCATGGCTGCCCGCCGAAGCCAGCAGAGCCGCAGGGTGCTGCCTGCCCTCTGCCTGGGCCCTGGCCCTCTCTCTGCAGCACTAATTCAAAAGGCGTTGATTTAGTTCGTGCCAAAGGGGCCTTAGTGTTGGGGCTCCTCCGAGGTGCCCCCGCAGATTTGGGGCTCTGCGGCAGGTCCCTGGTGCCAGCGCAGTGTAGGTCCAAGCTGCGATGCTTCTGGAGCGGTCCCCCTGCCAGCAGGGCATCCCACTTCTTAGCGGCATTTCCCTCCCCGCTGCTGAAGTGCAAAGCCCCAAAAGAAACAGCTTGTCTAACGGGAGGGGCGCTGGGCTCGTGGCCATCCTGTCCCGCCACAGTGCTATAGGATGAAGCTACTGCCAGCGACGCTTCACCTGGCGCCACATGGATTTCCCCCTCCTTTGGCCCCGAGCTGCAATAAAAAGGAATATTATAAAATCAGAGCCAGCTACTGTTCGCAAGTCTGCCTTAGCCCCCGGGCAGAACCCCAGCACTCTCCACCTGACAGCAGTCCTCCATAGAGCCTTGCTTTGCATCCAAACCAAGGCTCAGTCCTGGGGCAAGCCACACCAAGTCCTACGCACCTCTTGCCTGGGCTACATGTTGAGGCTGGATGCAATGAATAGGCCTGTGGTGCCCTCCAAATGCACAAGTTTCACCCTCCAGCAGGTCTTTGAGACTAGCACCATAAACGAGTCCCTGATTTAACAGCAGATGCCAGAAAAGACTCCAAAAAGGTTGCAGGACCCTGTCTCTGGCTATGTCTCCCATTCACTGCAGCATGTAAGACATGTGTCCCCATATCACCTCATCTTGAAATCAGGCTGAGAGCAGCAACCACCAGCCTGCACGGCACCAGCATCCACACACGTAGATCAGGCCAAGCCTTACCAGTTCGGTATCCTCAGAGCATAAATTTCTGTCAGCGGGTTCACATGTGGCTTGGCCATGGGACGGGTCATCTGAATCTGCTGGAAGGGAAGGTTATAGCCTGCAGCTCGTGGAGACAGGCTCGAACACAGAGCTCCTCACTGCGCTTCGTCCAGGAGATGGGCCTCACCAACTCCCTTTCGTTACAAGCTGCTTGGCAATGTACATGCCCCAGTCGCAGGGACAGCCAGACCAGAGGGCTGGGGCCAAGTCTTCATGCCTGGCTGTTTTGGTCCCAGCTCCTCCCATGGGTGTCTTTTTGGAAGAAGCACCCACACGTGCTCTCACCAGCACCGAGCTCAGCCCCAGTGTTCGGTACAGCTGGCTGCGCCTCCAGGCCCCTCACGCAGCGCGGCTATGGGGAAGTTGGTTTAGCTTGCAACACGCAAGCACTGTGCCCATCCCCCTCTTTCTGTAAAGCGCTTTCAAAGGACAAGAGGCTGCTGCAGCCAGGAGCAGCCTTGGCCAAGAGCTGCAAAGCCACATCCGGGCTCAGAGCTTCTCACAGTGCTTCACCCTAGCCTCAACACTGCCTAAGCACAGACCGCCCCACCCTGTGCCTCCCCCCACTCAGCTCAGAGGTCCCTGAAAGCACCAAGCATCCTGTGCAAAATCAGGGTGCAGCTTAAAGGCTTTAGTTTGGAAGCTGGGTGCTCCTGGGGAGTCCGGCTCTGAGCTTACTGGAGGCTTCCCACCCTCAGTCCTGTCTACATCCCCTCAAATGGGCCTTTCTCAGCCTTGGCCTGTGACCTGGTGCTAGTGGAGGGCTCCAGCAAATTGAAATTAAAAAAGGAAGGCCTGAACGAAGGAGGAGCGTCCCACTGTTTGGGATGTCATGAGCCAAACGCACACCTCTGGGCTCAGACACTACCCTCTCTCAGAAGTGGAGGGCAGTCACAGGGACATGAGTGCTTCTTTATTTATTACAATAAGCACACAAAACACCCACATCTTGCCCTGAGAGAGGAGACAGTTTCCCCTCCCCACCCAGCTTGGGACGGGCAATCCAGGGGAGAGCTCAGGACACCTGGGTCCCAACTTGCCTCTGCCACCAGTCCCCTCCATGGCCTCCTCCCGCTGCCCTGCAGGGGGGCTGCAGGTGCAAATGAAGCATGTGCAGGAGAAGCTCCCACGTGCCAGTGCTGGGTGTTTGAAGCCCCTAGAAAACCTGAAGGCCATGGGTGCACACTGGAGAAAGCATCAGAACTAGGGTGGCAGCAATGGCCTTCATGTTGACCAGCTTCACCTCCCAGCTGTGCAGAGAAGAGGCAGGGGCGTAAGCCTCAGCTGCCTGCCTCTGTGTGCAAAGCCACGCCAGGCCCCACGAACCTCACCTCTGCAGCAGCATAGCTCTCCTGGACAGTAAACGTATTGATATGCCTCTTAAAGAGCTCGATCACAGCATCATACACCAGCTCGTACTGCTCCTACAGTGGGACACACATGAAACTAATGTGGGGCAGCCAGACCCCCCTCGCCCCCGCGCTCACACCCACCCCTCCACTACACATGAGCACCACTATTCCTCTGACACACGTGGCCCATGTGCTCTTGAAGGGCTAACATTTCCAGGCCACAGGCTACACGCATTGTCAGGGGAGACTGTGGCTGCAGGACCATTTCGCATTCAGGTTCCCCTTCTATACAGCTCAGCTCAGGGCCAGACCGTGCTCCATTTCCTGGGCTGTAAAACTTGCTTCACTATAAACAAGCCCCAGCATGGCTGCAAGGGAAAAGCTCTCCCATCTGTCCACAGCCAGCGTCACCTTGTTGGGCTCCTTCCTGTGCTGGGAGAACACGAGTGACCACAACCACTCGGCACAGGGCTGCCCCACAGCACAGACAGGCCAGGGTGCTGCTAGTGGGTTCTCCAGAGGAGAAGCCAAGGGGCTGGTTTGGCAGCAAACCTTTTGCAGGCAGCAGGAGCTTTGCAAACATACCTTGGTCTGCACTATGGAGGGCCTCTGCGTGCGCATCTCCTGGATCAGGCTGAAAATACTGAAGTTCACAGGAACAATCTAGCAGAGGGACATGGAGAAATGAAGGCAGGCCCTGAATCCAGCCCCCTTCCAGAAGGCAATGCTGTTCAGACCCAGCTCCAGGCTGGTAAAACACCTTGGAAGTCAGGCAGGCAAGGCACTACGCTCACGGAGCGGCTTTCTAGTGGCAGTCAGAGCACGTGACCTGCAGGCCAGGGCAGGGCAGGAAGAGGAGAGACCTGACCCGTCTGCCCTGGTTTCTCTCCAGCCTCAGGAATCAGGCACATTGGGAGGTGGAGGGAACAACAGATGGGAGGTGGAAGGAAACGTCTGGTGGAAGGGACCACAGACCAATTATCTGATGCTGCCTTCCAAGGGTTGGCCCAGAGGGAGTTTGCAGGGAAGAGCTGGGGAGTGAAAGGCACTGACAGGCAGGGAGGGAGGCACCTCTGGGCATGTGGTTCAAAAGAGAGGAGCCAGACGGGTGAAAAGGGCAAGCACTGGGCATGCAGGAAAAGACTGATCCCAAGCAGTCTTAGGACTCACCCCATCCTTCAGCAGCTTCCAGGTGTAGTCAATGGCACAGATAACTCCCGTTCTCCCACAGCCAGCACTAGGATAAAAGGCACAGAACCAGGGAGCAGAGGTTGGCCTTCCTCTCTGTTCTCACTGCATGCCCAGGCTGGACCCCTAACTCCTCTCCATCACCATCTCCGACCCCTCGCCCTCACCCTGCCAGTGTTAGCCATGCTCAAGAAGCCACGTGACTAAGTCACTGCATGAAAGGGGCTGTTCCCAGGCAGCACAGACAGGTCTGGCTCTGCGACCATGGTCATCTGTATCCTACCATCACCAGCCAGGCTCTAGAACTCACACACCTGTGAGCACAGCCCTTCCAAGTCCCACCTGTGGGGCCTGCTGACACCCAGGACTCTGGCTACCACAACCGTATGCTCTGCCTGGGCAGGCAGGCAGCTAGCCACTTTCTGCAGCCACCCATCCTACGTCTTGTACACTGCTCCTGGACTGTGAACCAGATCTCCTCACGCAGGAGACTAGCCCAAGTCTCTACTGCCTGACAAGAAGCAAGCATGGGGGAGAGGAGCAGGGCTAGACTTGGGTCATGCCCCAACCAGAGGGGCTCACCTACCTGCAGTGGACACAGATAGGGATGCTGTCATCAGCCTGGTAGCAGCGCATCTCCCAGATGAGCTCCAGGATGGGGTTGATGGAGGAGGGCACATCATGGTCTGGCCAGTTTTTGTAGTGGAAGTGGTAAAGGGTGCGTGTTTGCTGCAGCAGGCACACGGGGGGGAAGGATGAGCCCTGGAGCTCAACCCACCACCCATCAGAAGCCACCAGCCCAGAGCCCAGATGGGTGTGGGGGCACCAAGATGCAGGCACATGCCCTAGATCACAGAGGCATGAGAAGGCAGCCCAGGCCACCCTCGCTTGCCAGGAGCATGGCCCTGTGCACCACTCGGGACATGTTCTCCAGGCCTCCTGTTAGCAGGAATGTGCTATGTTACCCAGAGGGACCTCTGATCCTCGGGGCTCCCCCTCCAGCACCTCAGCTGCTACGGCAAGCAGGGGCACTCTGGAGGCTGTGTGGAAGCTCTGCAGCTGGCCTGCCCTCAGCACCGCTTCCTCTGGACTACAGCCGCGCGGCGAGGGCCCTCCCTGCCTTGCCTGTCCCCTACTCACATTGTCCAGTGTCACCTTCAGGGTCCGAGTCACATACTCACTCTTCCTGTCTTCCACCTCCTGCGGGAGCACCAAGTTAGAGCCATGCCCCTGCAGAGGTGCAGGGGAGGCGAGGGCGGGGGGCAATCCACTCACACAGGTCACGGTGAAAGGGCCGCACTGCAGGGGGGCGCCTCCCTCCTCTGCCCAGTACCGCTCGCACTTTTTCTGCGGAGAGAAGTGGGCGGCTGGTTGCTTACTTGCTGTGCCTCCCTCCACTGCCTCCCATGAGCTGCTGACCTCCCGCCACCCCCTCTCCTCCCTGGGCAGCCAGGGAAGCACAGGCCTGGCTGCTAGGGCTGGCCAACTGCCTCCTAGAGCATGAGGGGCTGAAAAGACCCTTCCCTGCAGTGGAAGGGTCACTCCAGCCCAGGCCCACTCCAGCCCATTTTAAGAGCAGAGAACATACTCCCCCTGTAGTGGAGAGTCCCCGGACCCAACGCACTTGCTGGCTGCTGAAGGCAGCCTGGCCGTACTGGTGAAAGCCAGCAGGGAGCCCAGTCCTCCTTCCCCCTGCAGACGGAGATGCCAGGCATCCTGCTCGGACACACTCACCTTGCCCATCTCAAACTCCATGCAAGCCATGACCACGATCTGCAGAAACACGGCACATCAGAGAAGTGTGGGGGGAAGAGAGAAGAGGCACGTTTGTGCAGAGACATTTATCCACGGTCAGAGAGCTGCCCCGAGCCATGCTCCACGTGCACAGGGGTCACGGCCAGGCAGAGCCCAGGAACTGTTCTCGGCAGGGGCCGGCACCGTTCGACTTGCAGCTCTCTTGTAAGGAGACACAAGGCAACAGGCCTGGCCCCTGCCCTGCTGCATGCAGCAAGTAAGGAAGCCAACACACTCTGCAGTGCCCATAGGATGTGCCCCTCTCCCCTCAGCCACACAGGGTACAAACCAGCCCTCAGCAGCCCCAGCCCAGCCCTTACCAGGACTTCATATTCCCAGATCATCCTCCAGAAGTCGACCACAGTGCTGGGCAGAGGCCCCTGTGTAGCTATGTAGGCCCTCGGTCCATACACTCCCTGAAAAGAAGTCCGGAGCGCATGTGAACGTGGCTCTCATCTCCCTTCTGCCGCCACCCCCAGCTGAAGAGACCTGGGTAGGGGTGCCCCCTGGGTAGCTGTGCCCCAGCTTGAAATGGAGACACCTCCATGTGAGCCATCCTGCCGGCCACTTGTGCCACCGCTGGGCCCCATCACACTCAGCCCAGCTGGGTTGGTGCCTTCCCCGCTCCCACCCCTGCCCCACAGGCTCCTAGGACAAGACGGTACCTTGATAAAGTTGGCATTGATGTAATGAGAATCTGTGTCCGAGGTGATCAGGGACAGCTCCACTCTGCTGTGATCGACTGTGGGAGACAGGGAGAGCAGCACGTTTTGGCACCACGTGCACAGCAGGAGAGCTCCACTGGCCCGACCCAGCTTCCCCGAGCCTTGGCTTTCAGGACCCGAGCACCACCTGTACCCACCCAGCACCTTCACCCAGCAGTGCCTGCCTGTGTCACAGGGTTGAGGTCCCTGGGGCTTAGCTTCAGGCTGCTGTGCCAGGGGCTGCACAAGCACAGGGCAGAACAGCCTGTGTCCTGAGGAGCTTGTGTGGACTCAGTGTGGCACACAGCCCTGCCCACACTCTCCTTGACAGGATCCTGGCAGTCAGGCCACTTGTGTGCTACACTGGGGCTACCAGGAAACCACTCCCTGTAAGCAAGGATTGTTTTGGCTCTGGAGCCACCTGCAAGTCGCACCCTGCAGCTGTCTGCATGCATGCACGTAGCCAAAGGGGGGTGGTCCTCGCATAAAAAGTCCCGGCTTCCACAGCACTGTAGCTAGGTAGTGTGTAGGCATGTGTGCACATGTGTCCCAGGACCCGCAGAGAGCACATAACTGATCACATGTCCTGGCATGAGCTGGGCATCTATGGATGTGTGCAAGCTTCTGGAGTTGAGGCATGTGTAACAGTCACAGGTGTGCATACGTGTACATGTGCACTGGCAGGAGAGCAGGGAAAAGCTAGCCAGGAGGAAAGGCTTGGGGCAGCAGGTCTTTCTTCCCAACCTACAGGGCAGGATGTCCTTGTATCTGTTTTTCTTGGTGTTCTCTGGTTTCTCCGAGGTGGCAGTTGGGTAGGTATTATCTGACCTGTACTTGGTCGACTGTCGTTTCAACTTCTGTGGGGAGACAACGGGACCCGTCAGAGCAGATGGACTATGCGTGCCAGGGACACGCTCCCCACTACACCCCAGGGACCCCCCCAGACACTGTCCTCTTGCCTCTCCAACAGCCCTAGCGGAGGCAGCAAGCTCCTCAAGGCAGGTCTGCCAGCCAGCAGGAACATGAGAACGGGCAGCTCCAGGGGCCCAAGCTTTATGGAAAAAGCCTGGGATGCGCTGGCTGAAGGGAGTGGGCACCAGCAATACAACGTGGGCACCCAGTGTCCAGCACCACACACTTCCCTGATGGGCTGCACTGCCTTGCGAGTCATGGCACCATCACCCTGAGACGCCTGGTGAGGCCCCGTGCCAGCTCCACGTAGGAGGACAGCCCAGCTCAGGCTTTTGGCCACCTCAAGGTAACTTCACAAGGCTGCATCGGGGCTGGGGCTGAGGAAGTGGTGGGCATGTCATGCTGTTCCACAGGCCGAGCACAGCAGCACCGCTTTCATCTGGGCAGAGTGAGTCAGTGAAGTCACAGGACGTGGCTGCGCTTCGGGCCCTGCTCACAGAAACCGGGGCAGCCACAGCGCAGCACAACACGCATGCTGGAGCAACAGGATGTCCCCCAGGGACCCTGTCTGGGCCCCTCCGGCTCTGCTGCGCCAGGGCTTAGGGCTGCATGCATAGAGTGCCTGGCACACAGGAGCCCCCCTCGCAGGCAGGGCTCTGCATCGCAGACACCCCCTCCCCAATCTGCATTTCCTGTCCACGCACCTCAGCCAGTGGGCAGGTCCCTCCATGTGAGGCAGCACACATGGAAAGCAGGGCACAAGCCAGGAGCTGACTCTTGCACCAGCCGTGCACGCCTGGCGTGCCCAGATGCCGGCTCCCATGTGACAGACAGGGGGTTGCCAGGGGAACAGGCACTGTGCATTTTTGTGCATTTCTGTAGCTCGTGCTCGACAGCTGGAGCCACAACTCAGCCGTTCCCAGCTTCCTCCTTGCCCTCAGGCACTTGCAGGACAGCTCAGGGCTGCTGGGGGCCGCCCCGGCTTCGGGGAAGGCACAGCACACCTCGAGAGGAAGTGGGGCCCTGCCTGTTGTCAGCCAGCACACGAACGACCAGCCTGCTTCCCCCCACGCCAGCGCATTTTCCCCACCTGACGCCTCCGCCCCCCCCCACCCCCCCCTCGGGCACTGCCACCTCAGGGAAAGTCACCCGCCCGACACAGGGTGTTTTTTCCGTGGAACAGCAGGCTCAGACGATTGCTGCCCTGTGACAACAGCCTCCAGGAATGGGAGAGCATCACCGAGACACTCACCTTTTCCAAGCAGACCAAGGGCGACTCCTCTGTGGGAACCTGACCCTGGGGGCTCTGTGCTCCCACCAGAGGCCTCAGCCACGTACCCTTTCCAGGGGCAGGGAGGGGACCCAGGGACCCCGTTACGCTGAAGCCGCAGGGGTGCAGGTGCCTCGAGGCTGCGCTGCCATCACGCCGTTCCAGCCGTCTCTGGCTCACAGCTCTGCCGGCAGCCCTTGCTGCCAGAGCAGCACGGAAAAACCCAAAGAGCCCGGCACGGCCCTGCACTCAGCACCCAGACACCATTAGCTAGGTCAATCCCATCACCTTTCCTGCTGCTCCCACCCTCACTGCATGCGAGGCACCAGCACCCAAACAGGGGCTGCCTGGGGGCTACACAGGGGTGAGAGACTGAGCTCTGCAGGGCAGCTCGGACACCCCTGTGAGAGCACAAAGATGGCCAACTGCAGCTTCCGCTGCTGCTGACCTCAGGCACCGGGAAACTTCTCTCTGACGGGAGACAAGCGCAGGGTGTGCGCGGCTCAGGGTACAATGCACACGGGCAGTACAGGGCTCCGGAGAGGCTGTCGGTGTGGCCCAGAGCGACACGAGGTCCCGACGTCCAGCTCTAGCACTAACTCCAGCATGGTGGAAAATGGCGAGTGCCCAATGCCAGCGTGGCAGGACAATTACTCTAGTCCTTGCAGGATTTTTTTGGGTGGTTTCTCTGCAGGATGCCCCTTATTCTGGATCTGTTTGGAGGCCTGGGGAGATGGCTTGCTGGCATGAACTGCACTTACATGGTGCCAAAAGGACACGGGTTGACTGGGCACGTCACTTCTGACCCATTTCAGCACAGTTTCCTCCAAGATGGCAGAGGGGAAACAGCTCTTCCTGACCTCTAGAAATACACTCCCTGGCAACGTTTCTAGGAGCCGAGGAGCCAATATCCTGGCAGCAAACTGAAACCACGTCCCAACAAGTGTGTTTGCAAGCGAGGAAGCAGGAAGCATTGAATCAGGTCATGACTTACACAACAAACACAACTGCCCTTGGGGTGCCAACGAGTGAATTGTTAGACACGTTATTGTTCCCGAGTAAAAGGAACCCTGGCATTTGCAAAACGCTCGTGCCCCGTTCCACGCGGGCGGCAGCAGGCGAGGCTCCCCCCACCACACCGCACGAGTGGCTGAAGCCGAGAACGCGAGACTCACCAGGAACTCCTCTGCAAACTCCTCTTTGTTGACCTTCCTGCTTTGGGCCCGCTCCAGGTTCTGCAGCAGAATCTCTCTCTGGTCCATGCTGCGCAGTGGGGAGCGGCTGGTCCGTCGGCACCGAGGACGGACATGTCAAGTGCATGTCACAATGGAAAGCACCGGCACAGAGGGCGCCTGCTGACGGCTGTGGTTTACTGACTGCATCACAAGCCTTGAAGGAAATTAGTGCGTAAGAGGCAGTGTGGTCAAAGTCAAGCCGCCTCCCAGCGCAGGGCCCTAGTTCTTCCTTCCAGCGTCTGCACGACCGCCCTCATTTCCCCACGGCACGGCACAAGGTGCTGCCTCCCCTGGCCCTCACTTTTAGCCCATTCCCTTACCGGCAAACCCCGCTCTAGGATCGGCCCTCCAAAAGCTTAGAGATGGCCCAGGCGTGCAGGGCAAGCCAGGCTGCGTCACCCCGTGTCCCCAACGCTACCTGCAGCCCACTGGCCTGTCCAACGGGCTCCTACACTGGTGGGTAGCTCGGGACAGCTGCCCTTCCTCATGGCTGGGGAAGCACTTGTGCACTGGGACAAGGGATCGATGGAGCTATCTGCAGGGTGGGGAGTGCTGAGAGCCTCTGCACCAGGGCTGCAAAGTGCCTGTGAAGCCTTCCCTCTCTCAGAAGCAAAATCCTTTGCAGCAGGTCTCATCCTGGTTGGAGGAGAGTGTTGCCCCCAGCTGCTCCCTGTCTGGGACATGCGTGCTGCTGGTGCCTACGTGATCTGAACGCGGGCGAACAGCCTTGGCCTCAGTGCTGGATGCTCAGGCCCAATGGGGCCTTTCAGCATGACGAAGCAATCAGCAGCTCAGCACCTTCCATGATGCACGTGCAACAAGGTGACTAACAAGAGCACAAGAGGAACTGGCTCAGGGGAGACCCTTCACGGCCCCTGCCATCCGGGCCTCTGCTTGGCGACAAGGCCACTCTGAGCAGCAGCCTCTTTGGAGACGCAGCACTGCACCACTAACGGAGACACGACGACTAGGAGTTTCCTAGCAATGGGACAGCAGTGGAGCACTGCCCCGCGGGAAGGGCGGGAGCCCTCCTTGCAATACCAGAGAAGACAGGGCAGGAACAGCGTTGCTTCGGCCCTTGGGGTGAGCTCAATCAAGGCCTGCTGAAATCCAACTCTGCCAGCTCCGCGGGCTCTGCCTCTGCAGGTCACATTTCTCCAAGCAGCAGCACAGCGCAGGACAACAGCGTGATGGTAGTAAGCAGTAAGCACACAGACTTCATTCAGCCCCTTAGCACATCCTGTGCAGAAGCTGATTGCAGCTCAGGATGAGAGCCTGCCTTGCACTCTGGGTCTTCCTAAGCGCAGGTAAGAAAGATGCCACAAAACGGGTCATTTCTAAAAGGGATTTGAGAAGGGGCGTTCAGCACTGAGCCCCCCCATCTCCTATTAACACCTGGTAACGTCCAGGATTTTTAGCTCTGGTGGTTTATACTCGGTGCTTGTGTGGATGTGCTACACCCAAGCACAGCAACTGCTGCGAGCTGGCTCAGCACAGGTCATAGCATCGTAGAAAACGAGGGTGAAAGGGACCCCAGGAGGTCACATCTAGTCCGACCCCCTGCTCCAAGCAGGACCAGCCCCAACTACATCATCCCAGACAACGCTTTGTCTAGCTGGGTCTTAAAAGCTTCCAAGGATGGAGAGTCCACAACCTCTCTAGGTAACCTGTTCCAGTGTTTTACTACCTTTTTGTGATTTTTTTTCCTAATACCTAACCTCGACTTCCCTTGCTGCAAATTGAGCCCTTTGCTTCTGGTTCTGTCATCTGCCCCCACTGAGAACAGTCCAGCTCCATCCTCTGTAAACCACTCTACAGAGAGTTGAAGGCTGCTATTCAATCCCCGCTTGAGTCTCCTCTTCTCCAGACTAAATCAGCCCAGTTCCCTCAGCCTCTCCCCACAAGTCCTGTCCCCCAGCCCTATCACCTTTTTTGTTGTCCTCCACTGGACTCTCTCCAATGTGTCCACATCCTTTCTATAGCGGGGGGCCCAAAATGGGACACAGGACTCCAGATATGGCCTCCCCAGTGCTGAATAGAGGGGAAGAATCACTTCCCTGGACCTACTGGCAACACACCCACAACGCAGCCCACGATGCCATCAGTCTTCTTGGCAACACAGGCACACTGCTGGCTCCTGTTCAGCTCCTTGCCCACTGTCACCCACAGATCCTTTTCTGCAGAGATGCCAGTCACCGCCAGCCTGCACCGGTGCTTGGGACTGTTCTGTCCTAAGTGCAGCACTTTGCACTTGTCCTTGTTGAACCTCATGAGATGGCTTTTGGCTCAATCCTCCAATTAGTCTAAGACACCCTGAATCCTAGCCCTGTCCTCCAGTATATCTACTACGCCCCGTACCTTGGTGGCATCTGCAGACTTGCTGAGGGTGAACTGCATCCCATCTTCTAGGTCGGTGATGAAACCACTGAACAAAACCGGCCTCAGGACCGACCCCTGGGGCACTCCACTTGATACTGGTTGCCAACTAGACATCAAGCCACTGATTACTGCTCTCTGAACGGGATGCTCCAGCCAGTTTTCCATCCACCTTGCAGTCCATTCATCCAACCTGTACTTAGCTTGCCTGTGAGAATATTGTGGGAGACTGTATGAAAAGCCTTGCTAAAATCAAGGTACACCGTATCCACAGAGCCAGTCATCTCATCACAGAAGGCAATCAGGTTGGTCAGGCAGGACTTGCCCCTGGTGAATTCATGCTGACTGTTCCTAATCAGCTTCTCCTCCTCCAAGTGCTTAGAAATGGATTTCTGGAGGATCTGCTCCGTGATTTTTCCAGGACTGAGGTGAGGCTGGCTGGTCTGTAGTTCTCTAGATCTTCCTTCTTCCCTTTCTTAAACACAGGCCCTATGTTTGCCTTTTTCCAACCGTCCGGGACCTCTCCTGACTGCCATGAGTTTTCAAAGGTAATGGCCAGGGCTCTGCAATCACATCAGTCAGCTCCCTCAGCACCCTCAGGTGCATCCCCATCCAGCCCCATGGACTTGTACATGTCCAACTTTTCTAAATAGTTTCTAACCTGTCTGTTTACCGCTGAGGGCTGCTCACTTCCTCCCCGAACTGTGCTGCCTGGTACAGCAGTCTGGGAGCTGACCTTGCCTGTGAAGACCGAGGGAAAAAAGGCATTGAGCACTTCAGCCTTTTCTGTATCCTCTGTCACAAGGTTGCCTCCCCCATTCGGCAAAGGACCCACTTTCCCTGATCCTCCTCTTGCCGCTGACATACTTGTAGAAACCCTTCTTGTATTCTTCACGTCCCTTCCTAACTGTAACTCCAGTTGTGCTTTGGCCTTCCTGACTTCATCCCTGCATGCCTGAGCAATGCTTTTATATTCCTCTCTACGTATTTGTCCAAGTTTCCACTTCTTATATGTTTCCTTTTTGTGACTTAGTTCCTTTCTGTGCTAAGCCATGCTGGTCTTCTGCTATACTTGCTAGTCTTCCTGCACATTGGGATGGCTTGTTCCTGCATTCACAGTAAGACAGATGTTACACCACCCTAGCCCAGCTCTTAGAACGGGGCATGGATCTCAGCAGTTTACTTTGCATATTGACAGCCTTCCTGTGAAGTTTCACACCTGAAATCCAAATTGTCCACATAGATCTGGTGTAGTCTCTTCTAACACGTTTGACATTGCAAGTGTCTGAAGATGGCCCGTTATAGCTGCACATTTTGGTCAACGTGCCTCAAACAACCGTGCAAATCTGCACAGCTGAGACAAGAAAGGGAACTGAGTAGCACACGGCTGCATCTCTCCAACCCGACAGAGGCAACTGTTCTGCCTTTGTCCGTCACAGCTAAAGGGAGAAGTCAGCAAGTTTGGTGAACACCTGCAGAATTGTATGGGTGGAAGGAAGAAATAACTGCATGGAGGAAGGCTGCGGGGTAGCACGTGGGAGCTGCTAAAGGGCCTGACCACCCCCCCCAACCCCCCCAGCAATTTCCTTCTGAGAGACCCTGACACTTTGAGAAGTCTCCATGTGAATGAGCCACGGCTATGGTGAAGGTGCTGACCATGAGAGCACATGGTGACACACATCCAAGGCTATGCTGTGCCCAAGTGGGGCTCCCACATATAAGTACACTTAACATGAAACCCTGAAAACCCAGGGCACTATTATCCAGTTATTCTACAGAATATATTCCCTTTCCTCCCTACAGCCAGCCACTCACTCACTGCAGGCTCTTGCTGCTAACAGTGACTACAGGACACATTACAGCAGCAAATCTGCCCCTTCTTTCCGATGTGCCCCATTCTATACCCAAGCATGTGGCTCCCTCAGCTCTGCCAAGGGGACGGTTTCCATGTGCTATGGTGACAAATCGCTGTCGGATACGGTAGTACGCCAGGGCACAGGTAAGGCGGAACATGCCGCAGCATAAGTCGAGGTGGCATACGTGACTCAGGACAGAGCAGCAGAGAGGATGCAATCTCAGATGCCGAGTCTTTCTTCCCTTGCTTTGGAGGTGGGACACATGCTATATACATGGAAACGTTAAGTGATAACTATAAATTTTACAAAGGAGTCTTTGGATCCAAGCTGAGCAGTTGAAGCTCAAACAGAAAAATCAATGGAAAAGAAACCCTCTGAACTTAAAAACAAATTCAGAGCTGCAGAACACCTGTAGGGTCTCAAAGTGAAGTCTAGAGTGCGTGGACCTCTCTGCAGAGTCTCTGCATGGGCCCAAGGCAGCAGTCACCATCTGGCATTTCTTCTCTACCCAAGCAGCAGCAAGCGTAACAGGATGGACGCAGAAAGCAAAGCCACAAACAGCTCCTGTGGCCATTTCCCGTCAGGGTGAGAATCAAATCAGAAAGGACGCTGTATCCTTTGGGGTTTTTTGTTGTTCTCCTGCCCTGGCGGGGGGTCGGGCTAGAAGATCTACTAGGTCCCTTCCGACCCTTAATCTATGAATCTATGACTCTATGAATCTGTTTGGCACCCACGTTTAGCAGCACAAGATGCAGCATCTTAGTTGCAATGGAAAACAGCTCCACGGCCTGTCAGAACGCCACGCGTCAGAGCACGTTCCGGGGACAAGCACGGGAAGCAGAAGAGCTCAGGTCAGGGGTGCCTGTGCAGCAGTGGCCCTGCCCAGTCCGCGTGCTCCTCCTGCTGCGCCTGCCTCGGGGCACAGGCTGGAAGGAGCCCTGTGGGCTGGGCAGCGCAGTGGGGCGGGGGATGAATCCCACAGACAGCCATGGGAAGTCCTGGGCCAAAACAAAGGCTGCCTTCTTTGCCAGCAAAGGTAGAAAACTACCTCTGTGCTAGAGATACCAGTGAGCTCATGCTGCAGGTCCTGTTCTCAGAGGGCAGGCAAAGGTGGAGGTCGTACTTGACCTAGTCCCACAGTTTTGTACCATGTCACTGACAGCAGGGCTGAGGGGGCAAGAGACAGACAAAGCAACCAGGGCTCCTGGTCCTGACGTGTAAGGAGCCTGCCTCCTGGAAGCAGCAGAAATGCTAAGGGGACAATTTTCTCTCTCTCTTGCAGCCTGGTGTGCATCAGATCTCTGGTCAGATGGGAAAAGGATGGCTATTGAAGGGAAAAGCACAACAATAAACTGCTACTACAACAGCAAGAGATACCTGTTTAGCAACAAGTACTGGTGCCGTGGGGCATCCCGCTCATCCTGTGACGTCCTGGGAGACACACACAAGGTTGTGAAGAGCGAATATAAAGGCAGACTGTCCCTTGTGGATGACAGAAGAGGAACCGTGCAGGTCACCATGCATCAGCTGGCAGAAGACGACTCAGGAACATATTGGTGTGGAATAGAAAAGCCATATGCAGACATAATGACTGCTGTGGAGCTCACAGTAACTGAAGGTAACGACTCTAAGTAGGAGATGTCATTTGAGGTTTGTCATTTTTACAATTTGCAGGAGAAAAAAGAGAAAGCTGCTGCCTGCAGTACCCAGCTACTTGTGCTTGTGACACACTGATGAAAGCACAGCTCAGAGGCACTGAAACAAGGGCCAAGCAGCCCCTTGTGTCTCAATGCCTAGAAAGCTGAAACCACTCTGCAGACGCATGGAAATGTTCCTTTTGATCCCTGGTGCTGCCAGGGTGGCCAAAAGCCTTGCTGAGATCAGCACCCAGGTACGCCAAGTGCAATGCATAGGGAGAGACACTTTGCTCTGGACAACTGTCAGGGTCTCTGTGACAGGTAGGAGCCAAGCATAGAATCACAGGCTGTGAGGGTGGGAAGGGAGCTCAGGAGATCACATCTAGTCCAACCCCCTGCCCCAAGCAGGACCAGCCCCAACTAGATCATCCCAGCCAAAGCTTTGTCCACCCCATCGTAAACACCTCCAAAGATAGAGACTGCACCACCTCTCTGGGTGACCTGTTTCAGTGCTTCACCACTCTCCTGGTGAGAGAGTTTTTTCCTAATATCTAACCTAAACTTCCCTTGCTGCAACTTGATCCCATTGCTCCTTGTTCTGTCTGGCTCCATCCTCTTTGGAACCACCCATCGAGACTCGCACAAGGCCGTAAGAGGAGTGTGTGTTGGAGCCAGGGACTGAACCAAGTTGCAGTCCAGCACAGAGCCACCAGGAAGGCCTGTGGTTTGAAAACCATTGCCCTGTATGGGTCACAGATGCAGGATGTAGCACCCTCTGAACAGCACAGGTAGGGTGCGATCGGCCCGAAGGAACAGGGAAGGACCCCACCTCCACTGCCAGTAGGCCTGGGGGTTAAATCCTCCAGTGGCCACTTCAGCTGTAACCCTGCCATTATCACAGCCTCATTCAGTCAGACAAATGCAGGGGTCAGTACTGGTACATACCTATCCCAGGATCCATCTTGCCCTTGGGCACAGGGGTCTTGTGTACTTGGAGGATCAGTAGTAGCACAGTTCCCACACGCAGCCCCACTGCTGAGCTTAGAGAAACGCAATGCATCTAACTCCAACCAGCCAGGCAGCCCGAGATGCCTCCCCTTGGCACAGCGCAGGGCCTAGACACTCTGCTTGAGCTAGTGAACGCAGCCTCTGCTTAGCGCGTCTCACAAGAACACTGATTTGGCTCCGTTTCAGAGCCGCCCACCACACCAGTGCTTACTGTCCTCGGCCGCCCTCATGACTCGTGCCTGGGAAGACCTGCAATCATCAGGTGCCATGCTGCCACGGGCTCCCGTGTCACCTACACCTGGTACCAAGAGCACCCGCCCACAGCCATCGCCATAGCACACACCAGGGACCTGGTGCTCCAATGCAAGGACCTCCTCGAGAGCCAGAGCTATTACTGCCAGGCGGCAACACGAAGAGCCACAAAATCCAGCTGGGTGGTCAGAGCCAAAGTGCTGGCACCAGCCACAGAGAACTGCTCATATCAGCTACACTTACAGGGTATGTGCTTGGTTTCATGCCTCCTTCAGGGGCTGTAAGGAATGCCTTGCCAAAAAAAAAAAAAAAAA